ATGTCATATCATACATTCATGTTATTTTGCCACTATATAAACAAAATAAAGCAAGTCAAATATCTGAAGCCAAAAGTCATGTAGCTATTTGACTGCCTTTCATTCATTTCTATTTGCATATATGCATAATGTAATTATTAAAGACTATTATACAACTAAGCATATATTACAAGAGAGCTATTTGAGGAATAACTTCTCTATCTCATTCAAAGCATATCATTGCATGAAGACTTATAGTATGACCCGTAGACTTGCTTAACAGTTAGACCACCTCATACAAAAATTTATATTAATTAGCACAATAAAACAGTTTTTATATAGTCACCCACTACAAGAAAAACTGTATTTGGCGACGCTTATTTTTTTGTTTATTGACGCTTATTTTTTTCTGACATCAAATTTAGCAACACAACTCGGCAATAAGCGTCATTAATAAACATCGCCAAATGCAATTTTTCTTGTAGTGACCCATAGTGTCTTTTATTTTTTCCCCACCACCTTCATTATTTGCAGTTTAATTATTACTAACAAATTTGAGCCAAGTTAAGAAATGCCCTAAATTAATAGGAATAAAATGTTAAAAAAACATATAAATAAAATGAAGAAAAATGTTGAAATATCACTTGTGAGTTGTCCCACATTAATTCTGTAGAAAAAATGAGCTTAGTATGTAAGCCTAGTGGGCTACTCCTTCATTCACCAATCGGTTTTTGGATAAAACCTCACTAAGTTACATCTAAGTCCACACTCTTATGGTGCGCTTCACCTGGTGAGACCGCACCCTCTTCCCCCCATTTTAATAAAAACCCAAAACTCGTGTTACTTGTTAGTGTGTTAGAGCAATTTGTATGCTTCTTACCTAACGCCACTTGTCTTTTTTTTTTTTTTTTTATATATTTATTTATTTATTTTTAATTAATTTATTTATTTTTAAATAAGTTAAATTTATTAAAAAAAAAAACCCACAAGCTCATCCATCTCTGCTATCTGCATGTATATATAAGTGCAATTGTTGTCCTCTCTTTTTTCCTCTACACCGCAAATATATATTAAAATATTTATTATTAAGAAAATCATCAAATAAAAATTAGGTTTCGAGTATATTTGATCTACCAAAGCAAGAAGTTGAACACAAGGTAATTAAATTTCCTACTCAAATTAACTCTATATATGTCATAGCTAGAAAGTTCTATTTGAATAATTTCTCCATTCTTATTTCATAAATTTTCCACATCATTTATTTATAACAAGCTCAATATCACTCTTCATTTATAAACATACTGTTTTGTTATGGAGTCATCAGATGGTTCGGCTTATGGAGCCATTTATAGTTATTCACAAATGTTGTATTGACACGTGTACTGCAATAAATGCACACTAAACATGTGTCGATACATAAAGTAATGAATGACTTCATAAGGAGACACAATACGATGACTCCATAAAATTTATGTACAAATATAATACTATAAATCAAGCAATAAAAGTCAAGATCAATGATTCACTCGGATTAACACGCACGGAATTTTGTAGCTCAAAAAATAATTATTGCATTCTCAATAAATCAAACACTTTTTTTTTTTTTTTTT